CAGACAGTCCTTCAATACCAGCTGGAACATATTTCAGGAAGAGGGATGGTGGGCATACATGCTCAAAGTAACTGTTCTCTGTGATTAATTAAAAGGCTTAGAAAGACAACTGTCATGTCATGGCCTATAAACAAAATGGAAATTAATTCAGAGATGGGTTTTGTATGCTTTTCTCTTTTTTTGCATTTTGTTTGCATTTTATTGTTTGCATTTTGTTTGCTTTTGTCTCTCTCTGCAGGATGTTAAATTCCTTCCAAGTCTGTCCCACAGCAGAGAGCAGGGGTGGAGGAGGACAGGACAGTCCTTAGGAGAAGGCTGTGCCACAATCCTGGCACTGTCATGTCTGCACCAGTTCCAGTCTGATGGGACTGCTTTTTCTGGAAGATGTAAAAGGAAACCTGTGGTGTAGCTTTCTGATGTTTAACACTCTTCATTCCTGAAAGCTGGAATGAGGACCAGTGAGTCCCTGTCTTCTGAGACCATCTCTTTGATGCCTTGTGTTGAGAGACCTCAGATCTTGCTTTGTTGAACAATTACCAGCATCACCTTCAGATGTGATGTTGACAAATGCTGCAGTGTTGGGAACTGAGGTCCAGCAGCCCAGCGTCCCACCTGCCCTGAATCCCTATTTGTCCTTTGACATGGATGCAGTGCTTCTGGGCCTGGGTCAGGAGGATGCACAGAGGTTGACTGAGAAGGGGGATAAGTGGGAATGCGAATGAACTGGTGAGAATTGGGCCGCAGTAGGAGTTGTGATGGGATGTAGCAAGCATAGCAAATGCAACCCAGGGTGGGCAGTGGGATACTCAGACTGACTGAGCTGCATCTCTTCCCCATCCCAAGAGGAAAGGTGGGGAGAGCTGGCAGCTCTGCCTGTTGCAGACATTCATGTTTTGCAGTAAGGGTAGATGGACTTGAGAGACCCTGGTGTTTTCTAGGAGCAAACCCCAGCTTTGTGGTGCTGAGCAGGCACACACCCTGCAGTTTCCGTGGGCTCTATGAGCTGTAACTTAAAAGGAGTTTAACATATTTCATCTTACTCTTGGCCCACTGCCTGGCCTTCAGATCTCACCTGTAAGTTTTATTTCTGCAGATACTGCAGTAGAAAATAGATCAAATTGAATCTTAATGGGATGGGTGAAATCCATAGCAGAGTTACATTTGGATGCATTAGGAAATGGAGCCCTGGCCTATGCTGTCCCAGGGAATGCTGCCTGACAGCCAGGTGGGAGGGAGCAGCCTGCCCAGTGTGCCTACAGCTGCCTGCATGAGCCAAGAAGGGGGTACAGGGCTCCTCTGGTGGCTTTAGCTCTGTCCTACTTGTGAGGAGATTCAGAAGTAGCAATTTACAAAAAGGAGATGTTCTCCAGGTGGTCCAGGATTTTCCAATTACTTGTGCAGAGTAACTAACTTTCTTTCCTATGTGCTGCAGGGTGAGGTGACCCTATTCCTTTAGGTGATCACTGCAGCTTAAGCTATCCCTGGATTTGCATGCAAAAATGGCATAGGAGGGTTTGTGGAGTGAACAGCAGGTAGAGAAGATAAGAGGAAGTAGAAGACTGGAGTGCTGGTGCCTGGGTATGGGTTTAGGCTCTCCTTTTAGGGTAGAACTACTGGAGACTGGGACATAATTATCTGTGCCCAGGGCTAGTTCTTCTGCACCCACCCAATCCACCTGCTTTTCTCCTGCTTGCATCTGCTGGCCAGTTTCAATAGCAAGAGCCATCCAGATCTCACTGTGCCAGTTCTTTGGCCCTCAGTCCCACCTGCAGGCTGCTGAAATACCTCTGCCCAGCCTTTTTAGTGGCTTGCATTGGCCCTTTCAATGCATTTGTCAGTGGTTGGCTTTGTAGCTTCCATGGGCTGATGGAGGGTCCCTGGCTCATAGGAGAGCAGAGTCAGGATCGGCAGGAAGGATCCAGGCTGCCTAGTGAGGGAAGAGCTGATGTAAACTGTGTTTTTAAGGCACACTGATGGAGGAGAGAGGCATATGAGGCTCTTGCTCATGTCCCTGAGGGAACAGTGAGACAGAGATTGCAGCATGGTGGCACTTCCCTTGTGCTGGTGTCAGTTTTTCTTGGCTGGTTTCTAGGAAAACGGACTCTACTACATTCAAAATATTCACTACTGGATTTAATAATATTTCAGAAATAACTTAAATGTATTTATTTCAGAAATGGTATTCCATGGAAATCCTTTCTGTTTATTTGCTGGCATTGCCAAGCACGTACTCCAGAGCCAACATCCATGCAAGTCATTGCTTTTTTAAAACTGAATTGCAGAACAATAGCCTGTCATGAGCCTGGCCCCATGCTGTCTGAGGACAAAGGCTGCACGTTGTGTCATTCCCTACCTGCAGCTTTTCCCTGAAGCTGTCTGGGTCATATCTCTGTTGACACTGCCAGACGTGCCTCAGAGCCAGGGCTGAATGGCTGGGCAATCTCCCTCTACTACTACACCTTTGCCAGCTGAGTTTGTTCTTCAGCCTCAGTACCTTTAGAGACAGTTCTTCAGTCTCTACATGTCAAGGCACTCTCTCCTCATCTTTGAGATGCTCTGGAACTGTCTGAACAGTGTGGAGTGCTGGGAAGGTGGTGGAGATGTCTCAACACTGGCCTGATGGCTTCTCTGCAGACCTGACATGAGCCATCCCAAATAACAGCAAACCCTAGGCCTTGTGACTGCCCAGCCAAGTGAAGTAGCCCAGCCTCACAGCACCCCCAGGAAAGTCCTGTGGCTTCTCTCTGTATTCAGGGAGGAGGTCAGAGCTGAAATTCAGGAAGAGAGTTTGGCCAGTGGTGCCATGAAGACGTGGGCATAAGGTACATTAGCTTAACCTCAAGTATAGTAAACACCCTTTCCAATTCCTGATACAGAGATGGAAAGCAAGTCCTGACAACATAGAATATTCCTGGAAGAGGTTTCCAGTAGTATTTGGAGTAGTCTGGAGTTGCCAAAGTTAGTATTCCTGCTTTTCTCTCAAGCTTCTCTATCACCTCTGCTCTCCTGACTCCTGGTGGAAGGCAGATCATGCTCAAACTGGCAGTATCTGTTAATATCTGACTGAAAATATCTATCTCATCTGAATTTGGCAACATTAGCTCATTTACAAATGGTCAGTGTGATCTCAGCATCTCAATAAACAGCAGTAGCAAAGATCATAGAACTCACTGAATGGTTTAGATTGGAAGGGATGTTTAAAGGTCTTCTGGTCCTATCCTTCTTCACGGAGCAAGGACATCTTCAACTAGATCAAGTCACTCAGAGCTCTGTCAGACCTGGCCTTAAATGTTGCAGGAATGTGGTGCCTACCACCTCTCTGGGCAACTCGTACCAGTGACTCACCATCCTCATTGTAAAAAACCTTTTCCTAATATTTAATCTAAATCTACTCTCTTTCAACTTAAACCCATTACCCCCTGGTCCTAGTGTTGTAGGTGTAGAGGAAGAGACTACCGGCAACCTTGCCCCTGATAAGTCACAGCTATACTAATTACCAAAGAGTAGCCTTGCCCTTAATGTGTTGCAGCTGTGGCTAGTAAGTGTGATAAAAGGGATGAGTTGGCTGATCAAAGGAGCTTGGAGAAAGACTACCTGGAGGAGGTAGAGGAGCCCTGAGGAAGAAGGAACAGAAGGTACTGAAGGAATGCTTTAAAAGGACTGGAGGACTGACCAAATAGGAGAGAGACTTGCTTCTCTAAGGAATCTACTGTGAGGTCAGTCTGGGTCTGCAGTTAGACCCTGGAGTGGGTGTGTGCAGTTTAAGTCTCTGATTAGTTTGAATCAGGATGGCTAATCAGCAAAAAGAATAAATCGGGACCCTTTCATATTGCTAAACCAGAGTGCCTTGGCTCATTTCTACCCCTAATGCAACAGCCCTTCACAGAATCACTAGGTTGGAAGAGAACTTCAGGATCATCAAGTCCAACCCATGCCGTAACACCTCAACTAAACCATGGTATCAAGTGCCACATCCAGTCTTTTTTTAAACATATCTAGGGATGGCGACTCTGCCACCTCCTAGGCAGACCATTGCAATACTTTATCGCTCTTTCTGTAACAAACTTTTTCCTAATATCCAACCTATGTTTCCCTTAGTGCAGCTTAAGATTGTGTCCTCTTGTTCTGTCAGTTGCTGCCTGGAGAAACAGACCAACGCCTCCCTCACTACAGCCACCCTTCCGGAAGTTGTAGGGAGTGATAAGGCCACCTCTGACTCTCCTTTTCTCCAGGCTTAACAACCCCTTGCTAAAATGTCTGACCCCTTCTTTCTTACAGTCCTCTTTAGGTATTAGAAGGTGCTGTAAAGTCTCCCTGAAATCTTTTCCAGACTGAATGCCCCTAGCTCCCTAAGCCTTTCCTTCATAGGAGGGGTGTTAAAAAATGAAGATGAGTTGAAGAGTTAGCTGTCCTCTGCTTTCCATCACTAATTCTGTTGCCTTTCTGCCTTTCCAAAAATATTAGCAGCATCTCTGGAGTTTTCAGTGCTCTGCTTTGCAGGGAGAAATTAAGCTAGAATGAAGTATACTGGTGCCTTTATGTAGAAATACATGTTGTCAAGGCAGAGATTATATCTTGGCTTTTTCAAGGGAAGACTAGAAATGAAAAAAATTATTTTCTACTGTACCTAAGATGTGAGTATTAAGTCAGTGGTGAGCTCTGCCACTATGGCTTGTGTCTTAAACAGTCTTTCTACTAATTAAAAGTGATAAGTCAAAATTAATTGGACTAAGTGGAAAGCTTGCTGACAAAACTTGCTGAGTAAGTGTACCTGATAGGCACCAAAATGGTTAGACATTACAATATGGATTGCAAACTCTGCCTCTGCCATGCTCATCTATGGGAGTTTCTGTAGGGCAGACAAGTGTGGTGTGAGGACTTGCAGAAAAACACAGGTGTGATGGAAACAGGACGGATACCTGTGGTGGGAGGCTGTTGAGCAAATCCCTGCCTTAGAAGAGGCAGTCCTGTCTGCTACTACCGTGGCCAGCAGTCAGAGCAAGGAGGAGAAGCAGGAGTCATGGTTCTGCTGTCCCTGACAAGGCACAAGTTTGCAGCTCCTGCAGATGATCCACCTGCTTTTTTTGCTGAGATACATTTGGGCCCAGAGCAGTTCAACAAACCCAACCTTCTGGAAGGTGCCCGACTTCAAGTCACTCCTCGCCTAGGTTAGTAGGGTTGAATATCTTGGTACATGTACTGGTCTTCTGGTCCTTCAGGGATAGGATTAGAGACTGCTTTGTTTTGGAAGGGATTTTAAAGATCATCTCATTCCAATCCCACTGGCACTGGTGTTATCCTCATAGCAAAACAGAGAATTTGTAAGGCAATGCACTCTTGTTCCTGACAGATGCTGATGATCCAGTTCCTAATGACCCAAGACGTTGCTGGGACTTGAGAGGGCTCTGTTTTGAGAACAGCTGCAGTGAACAAAATACTCCCTGCCTGGTCTAGACTCGCATGGAAAGGTGAGGCAATACTGTCTTGCTCTAAGCACCTTGCTCTAAGTCCTTCCAAAAAGCAAGTCAGGACAGAGAAGCTGGGAACCGACTTGAGGGAAAACCAATGTGGGAAAACCAGGGTTTCCCATGCAAGGCAATGAGGAAGTAAAACTGACTTGCCTAATTAAGACAATAGACGAATTAGATAATGAGAGAAGTCTTTCCAGTGTGGATGTATCATTGGAAACCATTAATTAAAAGTCTTGTTAATCCCAGATTAGGCAAAGCCTTTGATAATAGCATGCAAGAGCAAGATATAGTCAGCACTGCGTCCCTTAGCGCACACAACCTTCTCCATGGAGGCTTTAAAATAATCAATTGCTTTGGAATAAGTTATACAGATATGGAAACAGAGCAGTGGGGAAGCAACAAACAGAGCTTACAAGGAGCTAGACTGTTTCAGTCCTGCTGTGGCAGCATCTGTTCTTCCATACTGGTATTTTGACTTCAGTTCTCTCATTTGTTCCTTTTGAGACAAATTTCTCCCAAGAGAGGCTGGATTTCTTCTGATTGATCGTTAGTGTTACAAAACCAGTTGCTGCTGCTGGGCTGTTCCCATTGCTTTGGCAGACCAGTCTTTTACAGTTTCCTCTTATCTTTAAATGTGATTATTTTAATTATTTGTAACAAATGTGTAAAGATGCCAATTTTTCCTCCTATATGGAATGAAGACTAATTATCAAACTCTGACACCTTTTTCCTGGAATGTGATCCTCTTCTACTTTTCTCTGCCCTGTTTTTAAATGAGTTTCAGTTCCTGGTAATCAACAAATCTCCTTACGGCCTGGCCTGCAAGAGAACTCGAAAGGGACTTCTTACAGGGGCTGTAAGAACAGAAGACAGAAGGGCTTCATGCTGACAGAAGGTTGGTTTAGATGAGATATTAAGATGAACTTCTTCACTATGAGAATGGTGAGACACTGGCACAGGTTACCCAGAGAAGCTGTGGATGCCCCATCCCTGGAACTGTTCAAGGCCAGTTTGGACTTGGCTTGAAGGAACCTGGTCTAATGAAAGATGTCCCTGCCTGGGGAGTTTTTGTGTCAAGCCCTTGGCCACAAGCTTTCCTTAGCTGAGCTAAAATTGTCCCCAAACTGGAACACGAGGATACAGCATGTCAATGAAGAGGAAGTGCTGAGCAGCCCTTTGTTGAATTTAACTTTCTGCTGTGGACATGTAAGACAACTTCATTCCAAAATAGAAAGCTGAATGGTTATTCTGTATTGTGTTGTTCTACAAAATCACTTCTTTTTTTAAAGAACAGACAGAGAACCCAATTCCTGCTAAGCATTCATTTTATGTTTGTCTTTTCACACACCCTTGCTTCTCTAATTCTGCTGAGACTGATCTGTCACCATAAAATGAGGAAGGCTGGGGGAAGGTGCTGTGTGTGGGGCATCTAAATGCATTTGGTTGCTGACTGCATGATGGATGAGGAGACCAGCACAGAGAAGCACCTGGCAGTGGCTTGCACTTCTTCAGAAACCAGTGGTCCTTTTTGTTCTGAGGGATCTGTTTTAACTCCTGGACTTTCTCAAAAGCAGGGTTCTCAGCACGTGCTGAATCCTTTTTAAAGTAACTGGGTTGGATTTGAATTGGCAGCCCTTTAAATATTGTAAGCAGTTGATGGCACAGCTGTATTTGTAGTGGCATCCTGGCTGCAGTGCCATAGCTCTGAGCTGCCTCACCAACAGGGCTTGGCAACTCCTTGTTGGGAGCAAATGCATTGGACACAATGTGTATTGTCTTTGTGTAGGATGTTGAGCACCTGTCCTGTTCTCCTGCTGTGCTGAGTGGTCCTTGGGGGCAGGAGAGTGGGGGAAAACGGTGGATTCAGGAGAGAGAAGGACTCCAGTCATCCTAGAGCTCAAAGTAGAATTGGAAAATACACGAGATTGAGTCCTACCATTAGCCTATGGACCACTGCCAGGTCCATCATGAATCTTGTCCCTAAGTGCCATATATATACTTTTTTTTTTAACATTTCCACCATCCTTGTTGCCCTTCTTTGGACATAAATCACTTGAACATTACTTGAACAATCACTTGAAGAGTTCTGCTCTAATAGGAAGATAGATATTTTGCAATCGCGCTAAAACAAGACTGTATGAATCTGGACCTTTTGTCCTGACTGGTGCCAACTTTAAAGGTGAGGTCTCTGCTGAAGTGGCCTTGAAGTGGCACAGGAACAGAACAGGGGAAGCTGTTGTGGAAGTTCCCTGCAGTGTTGGTAAAAGGACAGTCTGAAGTTGAGGTGTCCTTCAGTGGCAAAAGAGATGAAAGTAGCTTTGGCTTGGATACAGCCCCTTTTGTATGCATCCACCTGTGGTCTCTGTGGCTGTGTGCTTGTCAAAAATGGTTTTCAGTTTCCTGTTGTGGAGGGTGTGAGTGGTTAGAAAGCTCTTGTGCTGGCTTTCTGGCCCAGCAGAAGTGAACCAGTGAACCAACCCTAGTGCTATTGATATCCCTCCTGCAAAACTGGGCCTGGTAATGTTTATTCTTATCTTTCTCCCTTGTGAAAGGAAGACAGAAGATGTGATTTCTTTCTATGGGACTGCTGCCAGACCGATACACTTCAGACAGACTATATGCTGCTTTCTCTATCCTAGACAAGGGCATTTTTAGAGCTGTGGTACCTGAAATAAGATGTGTTTGTGTCCATCTGTCCAGGTTTCAGCTGGGATGGAGTTAATTTTCTTCTTAGTAGTTGGTACAGTGCTGGGATTTGGATTTAGGATGAGAATAGTAATGATAACAAACGGATGTTTGAGTTGTTGCTAAGCTTGAGTCAGAGTTTACACTAACTCGAGGACTTTTCAGCTTCTTATGCTGCTCTTCCAGTAAGGGGGGCCATAAGAAGCTAGAAGGGGATGCAGCCAGGACAGGTGACCCCAGTTGACCAAAGGAATATTCCTGACTGTATGGTGTTATGCTCAGCCTATAAATTGTTGGGAAAGCTGGCCAAGGGCTGCTGCTCAGGGGCTGGCTGGGCATCAGTTATCAGGTGGTGAGCAATTGTGTTGTGCATTGCTTGTTTTGCATATTCTAATTCTATCGTTATTATTACTTCCCTTCTATTTCTGTGCTATTAAACTTTCTTTTGCTCAACACACAAATTTTACCCCCCCCCTCACTTTCCCTTGCTGAGATAAAGCATGACACCACCCCATCTTCTGGTTTACTTTATTTCTGTAGAAGTGCCTGGTTTGCACTTTAAGAGCTACATCAGGGATAATGCTTCTTCCTTGTGAGAAGTGCTGATGGTAGGATATGAGACCATAGAGCACCTGCCTGTGGAGCTATAGTTCCCCCTCACATTGTATTAGTTTCTTTGTCTCATTCTTTCTCTTTTCATTTAAAATTATTTTTGCTTGTAAGTGCATTTCCAAGCTGTGGAAAGCTACTGACATTCACAAACTCTCAACCTCCCCCAACAAGGGCACAATTCTTCTGCATTTTCAATCAAAAAGTGTTTTATAATTCATTAGTCCAGTAACACCTACGTTTCCAAATGTTTATGGGTTGTTTAAATATATTAAGTCTATGAATTCAGAAGGTAGATATCTGCTAATGCATCAGATCTGTTCCTTGTGCCTCTTCTACTTTCCTGCCTTCCTCACAATCCTGCTGTATTAATTTTTTCAGGGACTAACAGTGTCTGCATGTAATCGTGTTAGGAGTATCTTGTGAAATAAGAAGCCAGATAAAATTCAAAGCAAGACGAGGCAATCTTCATACGGATTATGAAAGTGCTGCAAGACTGTGCATTAAAGAGATCAAGCACCTCTGCTTTTGCCCTTTCCCTTCTGTCTTGGAGTAAATGACCTGCATTAAAACAGTTTAGCAAGAGTAGTTTTAAGCAGCAAAAAGACAGAAATAGACCAAGAGGAGTCCAAAATTAATTTGTGAAGCAGCTTGTTGCCTTCTGACTTAAGATCTGTGTTCTGAATCATTGTTCAGAAACATAAGCCTTTGTCCATGTGAATGGAATTATATAGGGTTTAAAATGAAAGGGTGAGATCAAGTCTGGTGTTTAGGTTAGCCTGACATGAGTCTTCAACTCGCTCCCCCTTCCTGTGACACTCATGTGGATGTAAGCCAAGACAGTTTCACTCTGGGAAGCAATGCAAAGCCAATGAGCTAAGTTTCACAGCATGGAAAATATTTGCTCTCTTCTGCCAGTCTTCTTCCTTTATCTTTGACTATCTCCATGCACAATTTCATTTCTAATTACAGCCGCACTGGAACCTGAGTGTGATACCTAATAATTACTTACTTAATATTTATTTATTCATATAACTTTCATTGTCCTTTGTGAAGGCCTGGGGCCTACCACTAGGGCTGTAACACTTTGGCCCTGGAGGGGCAAGAGTAGGCATGGAGAAACACCCCTCTAAGATCAGGGTTAAAGTACCTCCCTTCCATAGGCCTTTGCAGGCACATGTTAATACCTTGAGTTCTATTGGTTTGTACAGTTGTTCCACCCCTGTTCAGTCCCTGTTCACCCTACATGTACCTTTTCCAGAATGTTCTTACTTTCCTTGATTCCCATTGGCTATGTTTTGCTGCATTGCTCCACCCCTGTTATCCTATTGGTTCCCCTGGTTGGCTGCCTCTCCTCTGCATCACTTTCCCCTGTCCCTATTGGACCTTGACCCTCAGACCTGCCCCCTTCATCCCATATTTAACCCTGTGCCCCCAATCCAGTTTTGTCTTTGTCCCTGGGCTCTCTTGGAGACTAGTAAACCTTTCCTCGGATTTCCATACAAAGACCTGTCCATTGCCTGTTTTGCCAGCCAGTTTTTTAGCAAGTATGCTCTGGGCCCTGAAGGCACAGGCTGCTCTCAGAGGAACCTATTGAAGCACACTGCTTCAAGTGGTGCCCGAACAGGGGTGACTTATGGAGTCTCTGTGAGTGACTCCTGTGACAAATCAGCTGGACAATTGTTGCAGGAAGGAAGATGCCTTTGGCTTAGGCACAGCCCTAAGTGGGACCTGAGTTTTATCAGGGCTCATTGAAGGGAGATTCAGCACCCTCCAAGCGGCACGAGAACTGGGTCAGCTGATGACATCCACAGGGCGTTTTGAAGACCTGCACCCAGACCCACCAGAGAGTGAATTGGTGGGCAGCTGACCAGGGTTCAGGCTTTTTCTTGGGTTGGTTTTATTGTGTGGGTGGGCAGTCCCTTTCCATTAGGGGCAGCCATGGGACATGTGCTATCCAAGGCTGAGAAGGATGTATATTTTAGAGTTACAGAAGCTCTCATTTTAGAGGGGAAATGTTTTCGTAAGGGGAGTCTAAAACATTTCGTTCACTGGTTGTTTAAAGAATTCTCTGATATTTCTGTTTATTCAGTTTGTCAGTTGGGGTTTTGGGATTCAGCTGGGGAAAGACTATTTTTTGCAAACCCCGTGGACGTTGAAGGTTGCAAAGTTTTATCCTGTTTTTCATTTGATTTGTTTCAAATGTTCAAAAGTTCTAATGCTCATCCCCAGTTGTCACATTCTGCCCCCTGCATCCCTGAACCCACTAACCCTGAGAACAGAACAGAAGATGGAACCAGCCATGGGGCACAGGCGAGCCACCTCCCATCTCCCCTTCTCTTCTATCATCTCTCTAGGAAGGTACTGACAATACCGTCCTGGACTCTACCCTAACCCACACTCCACCATCCCTCAATCCTATCCCCCCGTCCTATTGTACTAATGAAACTGTGAGGGAAACCATAATGTTGAGCTTGCTTCCTCTCCCTGCCTTCTCATTGGGTCCTCCCCTTGTGTCAAGTGCTGTCCCTCTATTGAGCACCATCCTTACATCAAGCACTGCCTCTGCATTGGGACTCTCCCCTTCTATCAGGAAGTCCC